ATTTAATATGAATTGAAATGGCACATTAAACAAAGAAGAACAGTTGTGCACCTGAATTCATGGGTTGGTGGTAACTTGGTACCATCTCCTTCACCTAAGTCTTCATAGTGATGTGTCGTGGCAATAAAATGTGTCCACGAACACAGTCACGAGGATGAACAAGTAACGGGTATTGGGATACATTCATCACCATGTATCTCATGATGCCTCTAGCAGGCCATCCGACAGACGCGGAAACGTTCCTGTCAGATCCACCACAATATTCGAATTTCACATTTCAAGTTCGATTTCTGAGAGCCAAAAAAAAAAGAAAAAAAAAGTCTGGAAATCAACCCCCCCCCTTTCAAATCCATAAAATCCAGACTTCCCGCCCACGCAAAGCCACCAGCTCTAATGTCCACATTTCTTTTTTTCTTTTTTTTGAGGCATCTCACTAGACAGGAGACGGGCATCTTTACAGTTCCCGCATCTTTTTTTTTTTTTTTTTTTTTTTAAAGGTCCATAGTGTTGTAGAGGCCAGTCAGCGGCAGTCACTGACTACACAGTGATCACCCGGAGCAGTGGACCGTGGGTGTCCTGGAATATGAGACCACCTCCCATCCCATCCTCACGTCAATACTCCTAGGCTCCTAGCGCACCCCCTATCGCACTACCCTACCTCAGTGTGACCAGCACTCGGGACCATTACCCTACCAATGGGCAGGTAACTTGGACCGAACAGCAGTGATAGGCACCAGGGCTGATAGATTTCCCAGCCCTGGTGGAAGCGGAATCAGACGAGCCTTGTCGTACGGGAACTTCAGACGCCAGGCCCAGACAATCTACTACAGGCCCCAAAAGACTCTGGGACCTAGGTTTCAGACAGGGTAGCACCCATTTAAGCAGTCTTACCGTCCTTCCCCTAGCCTACCCAAGGCCAGACTGAACTCGGACTGGCCGAGTGACTTATACCCCTAGCCTTACCCTAGGGTCTAAGCCTTATATATATCCACTAGACAGTTCTATCCGAATATTCAGTAGGAACTCTGGTGGCCCATACCTGTCCCTACTGCAGATACTAGACCCCACCCAGTGACTAGACCCCCCCAGTCTGATAGTTGTATAGTTCACAATGTGTGTGTATACCCGAAGGCTGTGTATGCCCCGTGTATCTGTGTATGAAGATGTACAGACAGCACTATGTGTGGAAACCTTTGTTTGTAGCCCGTAGGCCTTGTATAATTCGCAAGCTATGTATATGCCCGAAGGCTGTGTGTGCTCTGTGCACTATGACATAATAATGTGTGGAAACTTGTGTATGTAGCCCATAGGCCCTGTATATGCCTGAAGGCCCATAATTACCAGGGTTGTATATGCCCAAAGGCTGTGTGTGCTCTGTGAATCGATTGATCGAGAGGTATAGGTAGGAATGCCGCAGGATCATGTGTATATCGAAGAGAGAATGGGGTAAGCTGGACAAGGACCCCCCCCCTCAAGGTCCGAACCAAGCTCGAACCCGTGACCTTGTAACATGTAATCGTACGACTCGACCATGTGACCGACCAGTGGAAATGGAACGAACATGTGATGTGCCAGACTGGGTAGATCAACAGAACACCCAAGACCAACACCCCCAAGCAGACCACCGTCGTTTGCACGGCCGCCCACGGCCTCGGCCCATCCAGCTACTGGTACAGCATTGTTGTTGTTGTTTGTTGTTTTTTGCCTGTACAGCGTTGTTGTTGTTTTTCTTTTTTGCTGTTTTTGTTTTCCAACTGGTCCCCCCAGCCTCGGCCCGTCCAGCTACTGGTAGTGTCAGGCTTGGTAGGCTCGACATACCGGTCGCTGGAGGCTCAGACTGGACAGCTGGGCCCAGTACTGGTGGTTTAACCACACATACCCCCCCGGTTGTAAATCCAGGGGGGGGAACGGTAAGCTGTGGCACAGGTCCATAAGGACTTCCAGGGTCTGCCACTGCAAAGCGCAGTGTAGCAGCGGGAAAAGAAAAGAAGAAGAAAAAAAAAAAGAACTCGGGCAGTATTACCTCTACCGCAGTCTCCCCTTGTGGTTTTTTTTTTTTTTCCCTATTGGATATTCACCTTTCTTTCATGATGAAAACAAAATTCTGAATCTTCTCATTCTGTAGATAAAAGTTTGCT